ATTCTAGGGGTGGAGCAATATCACATTGGGTAGGGCGTTTGCCTTGCACGCAGCCAACCCGGGTTCAAATCACAGCATCCCATATGGTCCCCTGAGCACTGCCAGGAATAATTCCAGAGTACAGAGCCAGGAGTAACCCCTGGGCATCGCCGGATGTGACCCCCAAAAGAAAAAAATGTTTAATTCTAGCTGTATCACCCTATATAAAATCTTAGGGGGCTGGAGCGATAGTTCAGTGGGTAGGGCCTTTGCCCTGCATGCAAGGGTTCGATTCCCAGCATCCCATATGGTCCCCCAAGCACTGCTAGGACTAATTCCTGAGTACAAAGCCAGGAGTAACCCCTGAGCATTTTCGGGTGTGACCCCCCCGAAAAAATCAAAATAAATAAATAAAATCTTAGATTTCCTGGACATCTCATATTCTATACAAGGGCTTAACGGCTCCAAGGTGATACCACACTCTTCACACGCTTTCTCTAAGGAAACGTTTTTGGATCATTTTTAGTGGATTACTCATATAAGCAATCTACAATAAATTATTGAGGTCCTGCTTTGGGGACAGGCTTTGGGGACCGGGGTGGAGTAATTCAAAATATGGTGGTGGGAAGGTATAATAGTGGCGGTGGGATTGGTGTTGGATTATTGACTGTAATCAATTATTGTGAACAACTTTGTAAAAAATAAAATTAAAAAAAAAACCACAAAGGAGTCACCCCTGAGCACGGCCAGATGTGGCCCAAAAACCAACCAACCAACCAACCAACCAAAGAAGACATTCCAGAGTGGGCCAGAGCCATAGCACAGCGTGGAGGGCGCTGGCCTTGCACGTGGCTGACCCAGGCTCGATCCCTGGCGCCCATAGGGTCCCCCGAGCCCCACCAGAAGTGGTCCCGGAGCACAGAGACAGGAGGAAGCCCTGAGAACTGCCGGGTGTGGCCAGCACCCAGCCTCTGCCCCCTGCAAAAAGACATTCTGAGGAAAATCAAAGCAAGACTCTGATTCCCAAAGCAAAGCCGGTGAGCATCTCCCGGACGCCCCCTGAATCAGCACCCACACGGACACGCTGGCCTGGGGGAAGCTTGGGGTGTGCGTGTGGGAAACGGGCCTGGGGTGGCCTCCAGCAGGAGGGGAGGCCTGGGGCTGGGAGGAGCCGCCAGCGGGCTCCTGTCCCCTGTCCGGCCACCCGTCCCCCATGACCACTGCCGGCGGCAGCTCAGTTTCCGCTGACCAAAGCAACTGGGGTTTGCGCTGCCCAGCCCCCTGCTGCGGGGGTAGCCGCTGGGTCAGTCGACGGGTCAGTGTCGGGGAGTCATGACCTCTGCATGGACTTGACCATGAGGATGGAGCCACGTCGGCCCCCCCAATCCCTCCCAGGTCAAGGGCCTGCAGGAGCTTCCCGTCACCTGCACATTAGCAAGAAAACAAAGGGGCCGGAGAGACGGGCAGCGGGCACAGCACTGGCCTGGCACCCGGACACCCCTTTGGCACTACACTTGGTCCCCTAAACGCTGAGCACTGCCCCAAAACAGACTAACCCAAAACAGGAGAGCGAGAGAGAATGAGGGCCAGGTGGCCACTGCCCTGGAGAGGCAGGGGTGCTCGCGGGGCCCCCCAGGACCCTCCAGGGACAGCATCACACCAGACAGCGCCCTGAAACCTGCTCACTGTCCCCAGGCCCGGCGGGGGCAACCTGCCCTCAGGAACGAGTCTTCTCTGGGGACGACAAGGCAGGGCAGAGCCTGGGAAAGGCCCCGTCAAGCCCTGGGGGCTGGAGTGAGGTCCAGGACCGGGAACAGCTCAGCCAGCCGCAGGCGCCTCTGGGTGTGGCCCCCAACCTGGTCCTGTGCCCCCTAGCCCGGCCAGCTGCAGGCGGTCCATGCCAGTGCCCCCTGCCACCACCTCTGCCAGCTGCTCCTGTGTGTGGTCTGCGGACCCCACGCCTGGCACACGCACGTGCGCGCACACACACACTCACACACACACACGCGCATACACACATTTGCGCACTCAGACACACGTACTCACACACACATACTTTCACAGACACACACACACACACATATGCTCATGAGTGCGCGCACACACACTCAGGCATCACGTGGGAGGAAGTCGGGCTGGGGCCCCTGGGGGCCCTGTGGGGCTCAGGGCAGCCCAGGACCGTCCTCAGCCAGCCCGGCCTCCCCCGCACAGCCACACTCACCGGTGCCAGTTTGGGGTGTCTCGGGCGTGGGGGACAGCATGCTGCCACCCGAGGGTCCCGCGGCCTGAGCTCAGGCAGGGGTGGGTCTCTCCATCCCTGGCCCCGGCCCTCCCCCTCATCACGGACGGGTGTGGCGGAGACTCTCTGCGTCTGACCTTCGCCCCCGGTTTGGTAACGCCCTGGCACCACGTCAGTGTCCTCCCGCCACGGGCGGCCCCACTGGCCTCAGCCGCCCCCAGCCCCCTCTCCCGCCTTCCTGGGCGCTCCTGCAACTGGGCCGCGCAGCAGGAGCTAAATAAATGTATCTGGAACACACGCGGTGGCGTGGCCTGGCCGCGAACCCCCCCCCGCCGCCCCGCCCCGGCACCCCCCCGCTGCTCCCCTCCGTTCCTCGATTCCTAGAACTCCTCTGTGGAAAGTCCTAGATAACCACACGGCCCCGCTGCCGGCCCTTCCCGGGGCTGCGGGTGAAAAACGCAGGCGCAGAAGCCGGCGGACAAGGGGTGGGACCCACTCAGGGCCGATCCTGGCAACTCCCGGAGCCCCCCTGCGCCCTGCCAGGAGCCTTGAGCACCACCAGGAGTGGCCAACCCCCCCCCCCCCAAAAAAAAAAACCCAAAGAAGCTCCAGTGCTTCTGTCCCCAGCCCACATCAGCCACTTGGCAGGGGCATGAGGACAAGTCCCCAGTGGGGGGTGGGGGTCCGCTCCCCAGAGAGGGTCTCACCAGGTGGGGGAGCCCACCCTGAGGACCAGGACAAAGGGCTCGGGGGTAGAGGGGGGGGTTCCGGGTGTTCCGACTGTCCCCGCTGAACCGCCACCCACAGAGCTGGAGCCGGGAGCCAGGCCGGTCCCCAAGAGGGGCCGCAGAGGTGGGCAGCCCCCACGGCCCCTCCCCGGGCCACCCCCAGCCCCCGAGCTCCACGTCATCCTCTCACCAGCCCAGGTCTGGAGCCAACCGGAAACCCCACACCTGTCCCTTCGGCTTCCAGAAGGTCACGGCACCGAGCCCATGGGGGACGGGGACACGGTGAGGTGGCGGGCACCCTGGGAGCACCGAGGGGGGCTTGGGGACACAGGACAGGAACAAGCCACCCACTGGACGGAGCCTGAACCCTCACGTGCCGCAGCCAGATGGCCACTTCCTGCCAGCACACACCCACCAGCTGGTCCTCCCAGGCCACCTGCCTGCCGGACCCCCAGAAGGCCCTCCTGCTTCTGCGCCCCCCACCCCCACCGGGTCCCACTGCCGGGAGACCTGGCCCCCGCGCGGCCCTGAGTCACTCACGCACCCCGTGTCCCCCAGGTGTCACCTGAGTGACTCAGGTGGGCAGCACCCAGAAAGCTGGCCCCACCGCCGGACTGCGGCAAGCCTCCCCTCCAACCCATCTGAAGGACACAGGGACCCCAGGGGCACAAGGAGGTCCCAGCTGACGACACGTGGGGTCACCTTCAGAGCAGGGACAGGCAGCCCTTCCCCAGCAGCTAGCTGATCGGAGGCTGGAGGACATCGGCCCACAGGAAACAGGCCTCCAGGCCAAGGGGCATTTAGGGACCAGGTGAGACCCGGCCCTCAGGGGCCACCGGGGAAGAAGGCGGCCCTGGGCAGGACGGGAGCAATCTGCCAGGCAGATGGAGCCAGGCAGGCAATGGGTGGCCTGCGGGGACTGATTGGGGGGTGGGCTTGGTTTTTTGTTGGTTTATTTATTTTTTTGGTGGCAGTTTCGGTTTGATTTTTGTTATTCCTGCCTGCCTACGGTCGGGAAACTGAGCGACTGTAGGGTGGGAAGCTGGGATGAGACGGGTATTAAAGATGGGTCCTGGGCAGAGAGAAGGGGAGAGGCTGGGCGAAACGGACCTTGCCAAGGCAGCTTGGGGAAGTGGGCTCAGAGCGGGGCCAGCTGACAGGGCCCGGCGCGGAGCAGCTGGTCGGGTGACAGTGAGCCACCAGCTCCCGGGATGGGGCGCGGAGACCAAGCCTCCCTCCCGGCGAAGTTGGAACATGGGGTACTTCCAAACCGCAAGGGGGAAGCTGGTTGGGTGTGTATGTGGTGTGGGGGGTTGGCCGGGAGGGGAAACCCCCGCCTGTCAGCTGAGGGATGAGCAGAGAATCCGGACCTGCCCATCTTGGGGACACTGGTCTCCCTGCCCGCCCCCCTGGGCCGGGGGCACCCCTTCCTTCCCCTCACACAATGCCCGCCGGCCTGCCTGTCCGCCCAGTCCCCAGGCCACCAGGAGATCCAGGCCATTCGCTGCACTCCAAGTTAATGAGTTTCTCTGCCACCTAATTAGTTCTGAGCCGGTCTTGGGAGGGGGGACATCAGGAAGGGTGGGGGAGGGAGGGAGACCCTAGCAAAAAAAAAACGGGGGGCAGGACGCGGGCCCAAGAGCGGGCCTGTGCGCCCCAAAGACCAACAAGGTCTGGGGAAGGAGCCCCGAGCGGCCGGGCCCTCGGGTGCCAAGCGCAGGGGCTCTTGGGGGACATGTCCGTCCCCCACATGTCCAGTCTGGCCAGGCCCACCGCCTGCCGCGGGTGGGGGTGCAGGGCGGCCCTCTTCCCGCGGCCGGCCGGCTGGGCAGGAAGCAGATGGCCTGAGCCTGGCCCCTCTGCCCGGCGGGTGCCCAAAGGTCGCCCCCCGGCCCCCCGCCCGTCTCGGTCCGGGTCCGGGGAGGAAGGCGCGCCGCGGGCCCTCGCCGCCGGCTCGGGGGCCCCTCCCGGGTGCGCGGCGGCGGCGGCGGGGTCCCCGCGAGCGGCCGCCTCCCTCCCAGCCACCCACCCACGCGGCCCCCCGCCCGGCTCACCCTCGATGGAGATGACGTGCTCCCGGATCTGGTTCTGCAGCGCCAGGTCCTCGATGCGCTCGATCAGGTCGTAGATGGCGTAGATGTTGGGGTGCACCGACTCGAAGCGCTGGATCTCGGCGCGGATGGCCGCCGAGTTGGAGAGCGCGAACTGCGGCGCGGCGCCGCCGGCCAGCTGCGGCGAGGGGCCGCCGCCGCCGCCCCCGGGCCCGGGCCCCGCGCCGCCGCCGCCGCCGCCCCCCGGCGCCGCCAGGCTGGGCTGCTGCTGCGGGCTCTGCCCCCCGCCCGCCGGGAAGTTCATGGCTCCGGGGCGCGGGGCCCGGCGGGCCCGGCCCGGGCGCGGGGCGCGGGGCGCGGGGCGGCGGCGGCGGGCGCGCGGCGCGGCGCGGGGCGCGCGGGCGGGGGGCGCGGGGCGCGCGCCGGGGGCCGCGGCCGGGCCGGGGGGCGCCGCCGCCGCGCTGGGGCCGCCGCTGCCGGCCGCTTCCCGGCGCCGCGAAGCCGCCGCCGCCGCCGCCGCCTCGGAGCAGCCTCCAGCGGCAACAACAACGGGCCCGGGAGCGCGCGGCCGGGCCCTCCCCCCGCGTCATGCGCACGCACCGCCGCCCCCGCGCGCGCGCGGCACCCGCCGCCGAGCCCCCCTCCCCGCCGCCCCCGCCCCTGCGCGCCGCCGCCGCCGCCGCCGCCCCGCGCCCCGGCCTGCCGCCGCCCCCGGCCCGCGCCCGCGCCCGCGCGCCCGCCCCTCGCCGGCGCCGCGGGCCGCGCCCCGGGGCACACATGGACGCGGCCGATTGGCCCAGGCGGGACGCGCCGGGTCACCCCGGGGGGCGCCGAGCGCAGCCCCTCCCCCTCCGCTCGCGCTGCCGGCCGACCGAGGCACCCACCGGGGGGCGGGGGGCTGCAGATCGGGGGTCCCGGCTGCTTCCCGACGCGCGACCCGCGTGCTCGACCCCATCCTCCGGCCCGAGAAATCAATCGGACAGCCGGGGAGGGCCTGTTGGGCACGCCGCTGACCCCAGGGCCCCCGAGCGCCCTCTCCGTCCCCCTGAGCACGGAGAACCCCGCGGGGTGTGGCCCGGCGCGAACAAACGGGACCCCTGCCGGACCCGGAGAGGGTGCTCCTGCCTGGCCTGTGCCCCCCTGGCGTGAAGGGGGAGACCCTAGCGCGCTTCCTCCTCCGCTCACCCCTGTTTTCGGTTCCCAGTGTCCCTCTCCTCTCCCACTCCCAGCCACTCCTTTTGTTTTTTTTCCGTTGTTGTTTGTTTTGGGGACCACCCCTGGCTGTGCTCAGCGCTCAGGAATCACTCCTGGCGGGGCTCAAGGCCGGCGCCCTGCCCCTGCACTGTAGCCCCGGCCGCTGGCCACTCCTTCCTCCTGGACCTGGACTTCCTTCCGTGTCCCAACCCCTCCTGAGTTCCCGCTGCCAGTGCTTCCTGCACTGCTGCCAGCCCCTTCCCCAACCCTTCCCAGAGATGGCACACGCAGGGCCTATCCCAGAGACCAGTTGGGATTCCCCCGGGGATGACCTTGGCGCCCGCCACCTTGTTTCGTTTTGTTTGGGGGCCAGGCCCAGCAGTGCTCGGGGCTTTCTCCTGGCTCTGTGCTCAGGGATCACTCCTGGCGCTACTAGAGAACCTTCGGTGATGCCAGGGATGGAACCCAGGTTGGCCACGTGCAGGACAAGCGTGTGATCTTCTCTCTGACCACCAGCCTTTTTACATGCTCAGCCAACTTTCCAGAACAAGCTGGGTCATTGCCCAGGGTAGGGCTGTCCACCATTGCGTACCCACACAGTTCGGCCCCAGACCAACCAGCCACCAGTCCTAAGGCTCTTCTCCGGGAGAAGCTGGTCCCGCCGCAGGCTAATCAACGTTTGGATCCTCTCCAGCTCGGGAGAGATGCGGTTTTCATTGACCTCTTTGACCTTAGGATGCCTCATGCCTGCTCCGGGCTTTGCCTGAGACATGTAGCAGCTGAAGAGAGCAGGTCCCTCATGATGTCCTGCCAGGCTCCGAGCAAACCCTGACGTCTATTTCAGACGCTTATTTCCAATGAACAGCCAGTGGCTGTGCCAGGAGCCTCCAGGAGAAGCGCCCGGGGTGAGGAATGCCTGAATGGGTGGTCCCAGCAGCACACACACACACACACGTGTTGTAGCACTGGGATGGCGGGTGCTGAGTCCACGCCCCCCCCCTTAGTATCTGAGCCACATGAAGGCGAGGTGTGATTCTCCACTGCATTACCAGGCTCTCTCCCACAGAGAGTAAACGTTTGTGGGATAAGTGCATGTTCAGGAGGAAAGGAAACAAAGCGATATTTGCTCTGATGTTGAGACTCTGTGACACTCCCAAGGTAACATTGGCTCCCACACCCGGGCTCCTGCTAAGAACATGGGGACACACACACACACACACACACACACACACACACACAATTACTTTTGTTCCAGTCTAGCCAATAGAAAACCCCCAGAGGAAGATATTCGCTCTGTATGTTGTAATTCTAGTGGCACTCCCAAGGTGACATTTGGAGGACTTGTTCCCACAACCAGGCTTATGCTGGGAACATGGGAGGCGAGGGGGAACAGCTTACGATTATTCCAGACTCTCTAAAATCCCCCAGGGGAAGGTGGGGGAAGCCCCCCTACACACACACACACACACACACACACACACACACAGGACCCAGAGCCTCTCCGGGGGCGTGCTGGGGAGGCAGCCCTGAGCCTAGGTGAGCAAAGCAGTACCAAGCCTCTCACGTCATTCTGACTGTAGTTAATAAAAACCGACCCTGCCTCTGCGTGGCCTTGGGAGTTGTATTTCGGGAGGGGCGGTCTCAGACTTTAAGGGCTTCGAGAAGGCAGCCAAAAAGCCACATGGTGGCACGGGATAAAGCGTCGCAGCTTCCTGCACGGGCCGCTGGGGGCCAGGTGGAGGCGGGGACCCGGCGGCTGCAGGACCAGCCCCGGGGACGGGGACGGGCACCCTCAGCCAGCACGCGGTGCCGGGCTCCGGGCAGGGCCCCCGCCCCGGGCGCACCCAAGGCGCCTCCTGGATGCCTCCTCCTAATCGAAGGGGTGGGGGATGAGGTGACCCTCCCGGCCCAAGAGCAGGCCGGCGTGGACGCTGCAGAGCTCCCCGGAGCCTGCTTCTCCCGACACGAAGAAACGCGGCCTCTGACGTGGGGCCGCTGACGTCGGTTTCTGCAGCGACAGATGTCCCGGGTGCCGACGCGGGAGGAGGCGGATCCGGCTGCCGCCCACGGCTCGGGGGGTTAGGACAGCGCCGCCGCCCGCCTCCGCCGGCCCAGGGCGCCTCGCGGGCACCGGGACGCGCCCGGCGACACCCGCACGTGGGCCCGCGGCGCGGGGGGCGGGGGCGGGCGCGGCGGCCCGCGCCGGACTACAAGTCCCACAATGCCCCGCGCGGCGGCGGCGGCGGCGGCGGCGGCAGCGGCGGGGGCGGGGGGCGCTTTCAGGTGTCTGCGACCTCGGCGCCTCCCGTCCGGAAGTGCCCGAGGGTCCGCTATGGAGCCGGCGGAGTGGGGCGGTGAGTGCCCGCGCCCCGGCCGCGCCCACCTCCCCGGGATCGCCCGCGCCCGCCCGCCCGCGGCCCCGGGGTGATGGAGGGGTCGGGGTGCGGGGGGCCGGCCGAGGCGCGGCGGGGCCGGGGGGTGCTGGACCCGGTGGGGCGGGGGGCGCGGCGCGGATGCGGGGGTCGCGGCGGGCAGCCCCGGGGCGGCCGTCGGGGCGCGGGGTGGGTGTTCCGGGGCAGGCCGGGGGCCGAGCGGGGAGGACCCGAGCCGGGCAGGAGTGAGCGCAGCTTCGGGGGAGGGAGGGAACCTGGGGCACGGAGCCGGGGCCACGGGGGGCACGCCGGGGGGGCCGGGCGCGGTGGCGGTTGAGCCGGGGGGCGACGTTGCGTGGGGTCGAGCCCCAGGGAACGCCAGGTGGGGTAGCCCGGGCAAGGTGCACGGCCGGGGCCGCGCGGGGGGCGGGGGGCGTCCCCCGGGGCGGTTGAGGACTCCGGTCCGCGGGGGTCGGGCTGCTCACGGCCCCCTTCGTGCCTCCCCAGCTCGGTAGCAGCGGCGGGCACGGGCGGCTGCCATGGCCCTGATCGAAGGGGTGGGCGATGAGGTGACCCTCCTGTTCGCCGTGCTCACCTGCCTCCTGGTGCTGGCCCTGGCCTGGGTCTCCACCCACACCGCCGAGGGCGCGGCCCCGCCGCCCCAGCCCGCGGGACCCCCGGCCGCGGCTCAGCCCGCCGAAGCCATGGAGGTCTCGGACGACGCGGTCAGCGGGGAGACCCCCAGCCTGCGACACCGAGGCCCCGCGGTGCAGCCGGACCCCGGCGACGGCGACGGGCCGCCGGCAACGCCCCCAGCCCCGGACGCCCCCCAAGAGCCCCTGGTGCTCCGGCTGAAGTTCCTCAACGACTCAGAGCAGGTGGCCAGGGCCTGGCCTCACGACACCATCGGCACCTTGAAAAGGTGAGGACAGCACAGGACCGCGGACGCGCGGAGCCGCTCGGGGTGGACGGGGAGGTGCCGATCGATCGGTCGCGGCTGCGCAGGGCCCAGGAGGTGGCGGGCGCGGAGGCCGGCAGGGGGCTCCGGCGGAAGGCGGGTGCCCCCTGAGGCCCGCCCTCTCACCCAGGGCCCTCTCTCCCCAGGACCCAGTTCCCCGGCCGCGAGCAGCAGGTCCGGCTCATCTACCAGGGGCAGCTGCTCAGAGACGACAGCCAGACCCTGGGCAGCCTGCACCTGCCCCCCAACTGCGTCCTCCACTGCCACGTGTCCGCGCGCGCCGGGCCCTCGCCGCCGCCCTGCCCGCCCGGCGCGGAGCCGAGCCCGTCGGGGCTGGAGATCGGCAGCCTGCTGCTGCCGCTGCTGCTGCTGCTGCTGCTGGTGCTGTGGTACTGCCAGATCCAGTACCGGCCCTTCTTCCCGCTGACCGCCACGCTGGGGCTGGCGGGCTTCACGCTGCTGCTCAGCCTGCTGGCCTTCGCCATGTACCGCCCCTAGTGCCTCCGCGGGCCCCGGGGCCCGGCTCCCCGCGCCGCGCCGGCCGCCACCGCTGCTGCCTGCCCCGGCGGGCCTCGCGGGCCTGCCTCTTCCCGCTGCCCTGGAGCCCGGCGGCGCTGCTGCTGCGCCGCAGGGCGCCCCGGGGGTCGGGCCGGGCCGACGCCCCTCGCGGCGCCCCTCCGCGGGCGGCAGCCGGCCCGCAGCGGGCGCCCCTGGCAGCGGCGGCCTCGTCGGGCGCGGGCAGCTGCTGCCGCTGCCTGGGGCCCGGGCAGGGGCGGGCCGTGCCCCTGGGCCCGTCCTAGGCCCCCTCGGGGCCCTCGGAACTGCTCCTCCTCCGGCCAAGGCGGGGGACCCGGAGCCGGCCGCCCAGCAGGGGGGCGTGCAGGGAGGTGGCGGGGCGCCCTCTGGAAGCCGGGCAGATTAAACGACTGTGAAGTTTTCAGCCCCGCGTGTGCCTGCGTGCGTGTGTGGGTGGGTGGGTGGGTGGGTGCTGCGGGCGGCGGCGGCGGGGAGCGGGGACCTCCCCCCCCCACCGCCTCCTCCTCCCGGGCCCCGCGGGCGCCGCCGGCCGCTGACAGCGCGCCGGCCCCGCCCCCGCGCGCGACTTCCGGGGCGGGCCGCGCGGGGGCTGCCGGGAGCCACGTCCGTGCGGGCCGCGGCGGGCGGCGGGCGGCCGCGCGGGGGCTGCCGGGAAGATGGCGGACTCGGCGGCCGGCCGATGAGGAGGCCGCGCGGGCAGCCCGGCCCCCGGGCCCCGAGAGCCGGCGAGGCGGCGAGCTGCGCGGGGCCGGGGGAGCCATGTAGGGGGGGGCCTGGGGGCGGGGCGCGCGCGGGCGGCGGCGGCGGCGGCGGGGCGCGCGCGCGGGCGGCGGCCGCCGTCCCCGGGCCCGGGGGGCGTGGGGGACCCCGGCCCGGCGGCCGCGCCCGGGGCCGAGCCGCGCGCCCGGGCTGCACGGGCGCCCCGAGAGCCGCGCGCGGCCGCCCGGGCGCCGGGCGAGGCGCCGCCGGCGGAGGGACGGAGCCGCGCGCCCAAGGTCACCCGGCCGGGAGCGGCGGCGCCCGGCATGGAGCCCGGGACCCCCGCGAGGGACCCCCGCCCCGGGCCGGGCGCGGCCCGCCCGCGGCCCCGTGACCTCGGCGCGCTCGACCCCCGCCTCTCCGCCCGCGGCCCCGCGGTAACCGGCGGCGGAGACCTCACCCCCCGTTTCTGGGCCGCCCCCAGGGTCTCCGTCGCCCAACTCCATGCTCCGAGTGCTGCTCTCGGCCCAGGCCTCCACCGCCCGGCTGTCCGGCCTGCTGCTGCTCCCGCCCGCCCAGCCCTGCTGCCTGGGCCCGGGCAAGTGGGCCGAGCGGCCCCCGGGCGGGGGTCCCGCCGCCGGCCCGCCCGCGCAGGGGCTGCAGCGGCTGCTGGAGCAGGCCCGGAGCCCCGGGGAGCTGCTGCGGTGGCTGGGCCAGAACCCCACCAAGGTGCGCGCCCACCACTACCCGGTGGCCCTGCACCGCCTGGGCCAGCTCCTGGGCGCGCAGCCGCGGCCCCCGCCCCCGGAGCCGGCCACGCTGCGGGACTTGAGCCAGCTCATCATCCGCCACTGCCCCTCCTTCGACATTCACACCATCCACGTGTGTCTGCGCCTGGCCGTGCTACTGGGTGAGGCGGGTGTCGCGGGATGCGGGGGGGGGGGCGTGCGGATGGAAGGCACCAGTGCCCCCCTGCACCGCCCAGCCCTGCCAGGGACCACCGCCCCGGGTTGGTCCCGGCACGGACCTCCCCGCCTCCGTCCACCTGATGTTGGACGGACCTCCCCGCGGTTGCGCGGTCTCCCCGCCCGGAGAACAGACGAGGCGGGTTAGGAATCCACCGAGTCGTCCCCGGGAGTGAGGCCGCTTCGGGGGGCCGCTGGTCCCCCCTGACCCTGTGCCCCGCAGGCTTCCCGGCCGACGGACCCCTGGTGCGCGCCCTGGAGCAGGAGCGGAGGTCGCGCCTGCCGCCCAAGCCGCCGCCCAAGCCGCCGCCCCAGCCCCAGCCCCAGCCCGTGCCAGGCGGGCAGAGGTTGGAAGCGGCTCTGAGCTGCCCCCGGTTCCTGCGGCACCCGCGGCAGCATCTCATCCGCAGCCTGGCAGGTGCGGGAGCGGGCAGGGAGCGTGGGGGGCTGGGGGGGCGGCGTCTGGTGCCAGCGACCCCGGGCGACGGCTGACAGGTGGTTCTCCGCAGAGGCCAGACCCGAGGAACTGACTCCCCACGTGATGGTGCTCCTGGCCCAGCACCTGGCCCGGCACCGCTTGCGGGAGCCCCAGCTTCTGGAGACCATTGCCCACTTCCTGGTGGTCCAGGAAGCCCAGCTCAGCAGCAAGGTGGGGTTGCCTCCCACCGACCCCCGCGGCCGCCCCGTCAGGCCCCACCCTCTGCCCTGCTGGAGTGGCCGCCGCTTCCTGCATCCGGCCCGCTGGCCTCTGCTCCGCGCCCGGTGCCATCCGCTTGCCCCTCCGCGGCCTGCCGGGCTGTGGTCCTCCCGGATGGCACTCGGTCCATCTTAGCTCCTCTATGCCCAGGCCCCAGGGCCGCGTCCCCTCCGCGCCCGCCGCCTTGGTGACTAAGCCCGTGGGACTTCCGGCGCGTTCGGCGGGGGACAGGGCAGGTGCGGCCCACCCCCGGGTCACTAGGCAGAGGCTGGCGGCGACGCCCGGCAGCCGGGCGCGGGCTGACGCCGCCCCTCCCCGGCAGGTGGTCCAGAAGCTGGTGCTGCCCTTCGGGAGGCTCAACTACCTGCCCACGGAGCCGCAGTTCCTGCCCTGCCTGGAGCGGATCCTGGCGCGCGACGCGGGGCTGGCCCCCCTGGCCACGGTCAACATCCTGATGTCGCTGTGCCAGCTGCGGTGCCTGCCCTTCCGCGCGCTGCACCTGGTGTTCTCCCCGGGGTTCATTAGCCACGTCAGCGGTGCGCGGACAGGTGGCCCGCGGGAGGGGAGTGCCGGGCGCCCCCGCCGCGCGCGACGCCCCGTGAGCCCCGGTGCTGCTCCCACAGGCACCCCCCACGCGCTCATCGTGCGGCGCTACCTCTCCCTGCTGGACACGGCCGTGGAGCTGGAGCTCCCGGGCTACCGGGGTCCCCGCCTGCCCCGCCGGCAGCAAGTGCCCATCTTCCCGCAGCCGCTCACCGCCGACCGGGGCGCGCTGCAAGTACAGGTGGCTGGGGGGGCCGGGCCCGGGGAGGGCGCGTCCCCAGGAGCAGCGCGGCGGAGCAGAGGCGCTGGGTCGCAGAGGAGCCAGGCCAGCGAGGACGGACCTCCGCTATGGCCTTCCTCTCCCCCCAGTCACAAGGACATGGTGGCCGAGGGGCTGCGCCAGCTGCTGGGGGAGGAGAAGTACCGCCAGGACCTGACCGTGCCTCCGGGCTACTGCACAGGTGAGCGGCCGCGGGCGGGCTGGGGCGCGGCCGCCCCGGGCTGAGACCCAGCGGCCCTGTCTCCCCGCAGACTTCCTGCTGTGTGTTAACAGCTGCGGGGCCGTGCTGCCCGTGAGGACCCAGGACCCCTTCCTCCCGTACCCTCCCAGGGCCAGGCCCCGGGACCCCGCTGCTGCGGCTCAGCCCACGACCCGAGACCCGGCCCAGAGGTGAGGGGGGCGGGGGGCGCGGGCCGCCCCGCCGCCTGGCCCCGGCGCTGAGCCGTCGTCGTGTCCTCCCCCAGGGTGGTGCTGATGCTGCGGGAGCGCTGGCACTTCTGCCGCGACGGCCGGGTGCTGCTGGGCTCCCGGGCCCTGCGCGAGCGGCACCTGACCCTCATGGGCTACCAGCTGCTGCCGGTGAGCCCGCCCGCCCCGTGCGCGTGCCTGCCTGCGTGCGTGCGTGCGTGCGTGAGTGCGAGCGAGCCCGCTGTCCTTTCCCTGCAGCTGCCCTTCGAGGAACTCGAGTCCCAGCGAGGCCTGCCCCAGCTCAAGAGCTACCTGAGGCAGAAGCTCCAGGCCTTGGGCCTCCGCTGGGGGCCGGAAGGGGGGTGAGGGGGTGTGCTCGGGGCTCAGGACAGCCCCCCTATGGGGGGTGGACAGTTTGCACTTTGGACCCTCGTGTTTCGGTTTCTCATTAAAGCTCCCTTTTCCCCCTCCCCAGTGCTCGTGTCGTTTCTGGGCCGGGCGGCGGCCAGGGTGCCCACCCCACCCCCTCCCTGCCCCCGACCCTCGGCACAGACACGGGAGGCCAGGGTAGGTGGGGGCCGAAGCACTTTACTGCAGGGCGCAGGGCAGGGGACTTTAAATTATTCACTTAAATAAAAACGGGGAGGGCGGGGGCGCCCCCCCAGCCCCGGGTCCCCGTCCGTCCGTCCGTCCCTCGGCTGTCTGTCCAGGCAGCGGCTACACAGGCATGGGCATCTCGTTGTACTCGTCCACGCCCTCCCGCTCATCGAACACGGGCTCCGCCTCGTTGGCGTCCAGCTGTGGGGGGGGTGGAGGGGTGGGGGTGGGGGGGCCGAGTCAGGACCTGGCGGGGCCGCGGCTGGCTGGCTGGCGGGCGGCGGGGGGCGGGGGGCTTACGCATTTCATCTCTCCCTCGGTGAAGATGCGGGTGAGCACCACCATGCGGAGCGGCACCGTGAGGATGAGGATGAAGGGGAAGGCCAGGGAGGCGGCGGTGGACATGACGGCCCAGAGCAGGGTCAGGCAGAGCAGCTGCAGGGCCGTGAACAGGTGCATCCGCAGCGTGCGCACCTGGGGGCGGGGACACGGTGAGCCTGGCGCGGGGCGCCGGGCGCAGGGCGCAGGCGCGGGAACGGGGGGCCAGCAGGGGCGCGGGGCGGCGCCGCGCACCTTCTTGACGTAGGTGACGTCGGGGTGGTGCTTGGCCGGCATGAGCAGCAGGTGCAGCCGCTCATAGAACTGGATCCCGTTCAGGGAGGTCACGCCCATGTACAGGAAGATGCCGAAGAGCACAGCCAGGGGGATCTGGCGGAGCAGGTCCCCGATGACTATGGAGAGGCCTGCGGGAGCGGCGGGGAGAGCGTTGGCCCCGGGCCGGGGGTCCCCGGGGGGCCGGGGCGCAGGGAGACCTACCCACGAGCAGGGCGACCAGCAGCCCTGTCACCCGCTGCTCCTTGACCTCCTGGATCTTGGGCTTGTCTCCGGGCGCCACGGCCTTGCTCATGACCGTGAGCGCGTTGGCGTGCGTGACCGAGCGCACCGTGGCCGCCGCCAGCCAGGGCAGGCCAAAGAGGGCGCAGATCCCGCCCATGCCCACGATGAGCAGCAGGTCCAGGTGGAAGCCGGAGCCCTTCTGCAGCATGCGCTCCTTCTTGGAGATGATGAGCCTGCGGACGGGAGGACCCCGCACCTGAGCCCGTGCGCGCACGCACGGGGGCCCAGGCCTGGCTGCACAGGTGCACGCGCACACACAGGTCGTACAGCAGCCCAGGCCTGGTGGCACGCACGCGCGCACGGTAGCTCAAGTCTCACACACGCTGCATGCACACACACAGCCCGCACAGCAGCCCAGGCCCAGTTGTGCATGCGCGTGTACACACACGTACACACAGCAGCTCAGGTCTCACACAGTGCATGCGCGCACACACACACACAGCCCGCACAGCAGCCCAGGCCCAGTTGTGCATGCGCGTGTACACACACATACACACAGTAGCTCAGGTCTCACACAGTGCATGCGCGCACACGCACACACACAGCCCGCACAGCAGCCCAGGCCCAGTTGTGCATGCGCGTGTACACACACGTACACAAAGCAGCTCAGGTCTCACACAGTGCATGCGCGCACACACACACACAGCCCGCACAGCAGCTCAGGCCCAGTTGTGCATGCGCGTGTACACACACGTACACACAGGAGCTCAGGTCTCACACAGTGCATGCGCGCACACACACACACAGCCCGCACAGCAGCCCAGGCCCAGTTGTGCATGCGCGTGTACACACACGTACACACAGCAGCTCAGGTCTCACACAGTGCATGCGCGCACACACACAGCCCGCACAGCAGCCCAGACCCAGTTGCACACATGTGCGTGCACACACACACAGCCTGGGTCTCTCTCTCTCTCACACACACACACACGCACACACACACGACGGCCCGCTTGGCAGCCTGAATCTCTCTCACACACACACACAAACACACCACATACGGCCTACACAGCAGCCCAGGTCTCTATCTCACACACACACACACACACACACACACAAACACAGGCAGCCTGAGTCACACACACACAGCCCACACGGCAGCCTGGGTCTCACACAAGTGTGTGCGCTCATGCACACACAGCCTGCACAATGGCCCAGGCCCAGTTAAACACATGTCCGCACACACACACACACGGCCTGCACGGTAGCCTGCATCACACACACACGCACGCACACACACACGAGAGCGCGCGAGGCCCAGACAGCAGGGGCCAGGGCTGCTCCCTCACGTGGTGATCTGCGTCTCCATGAATATGAGGATGAAGACCAGGATGGCGGGCAGCAGGCTGGCGACCATCATCCACACGGGGAAGGCACTGTTCTCGCCCAGGGGGTTGATGAACCAGCCGCGCTTCTCGGGGGCCGTCACCGAGAACCCGCTGGGCACGCTCAGCTTCTGTGGGCGGGGAGCGGGGGTCAGGTGAGCGGGCGGGTGGGGCCGGGGAAGAGGCCGGGTTTGTGCCCCGCGCGCCCGCTGGGCCCCACCTGGGTGTAGGTGTCCTCAATACTGTAATCCACGAGCACCATGATGAGGATGGCGATGGGCACCCCGAAGTCCCCGATCACGCGCCGCACCTGTGGGCCAGCAGCGGGCTCAGGGGCCGCCTCTTTGCACCCCACCCGCCCCCGCCCCCCACCTCCCGGCCCACGCACTCGGCCAGGGAAGAAGCGGCTGTTCTTGAACTTGCGCAGGAAGAAGGCAATGAAGAAGGTGCCGGCCATGAGCACCAGCGAGAGCAGGGCCGTGTTGGGCTGGCCCTGGGGCGGCGTCTGCCCGGTCCGGGCGGCCGAGCTCCCGTTGGCCAGGCCCAGCGCGGTCTCCGCCCTGGCCCATGTGGCGTTCTGGTCGGCGTCCTCCTCGGAGCTGTTGGTGACCGAACAGCCGTGGAGAGGGTGTTCCTGGAAGATCTGGGAAGGGAAGGGGCCCCCGTCAGCCGGGCGGAGACTCCGCGGCGGCTTGCAGGGGCCGGGGCAGGTGCGGCCGGAGGGACCCCAGGACCCTGACACCCGGTGTGAGTGGGGTGTAGAGCCGGGCAGGGAGCTGGGGCGGGGGACAGGAGGATGGTTCCGGCCAGAGGCTCCTCTGTGTGTGTGTGTGTGCCTGCGTCACCGCTATTGAAGGCACCGAGCGGCACACGGGGTGGGGCTGGGGGGTGCGGCGCTCAGAGCTCGTCCCACCTTCACCAGCTTGTAGAAGGTCTCGTAGATGAAGATGAGGGAGATGAGGAAGGCGAAGATCTCCTGGGTGAAGCGGGACACAAAACGCACCAGGAAGCTGCCCTCCAGGGCCACCATGAGCAGCGCCAGGAACACCAGCCAGAAGCCGATCCACACGCGCCCCACCAGGTACTCCAGGTTGTTGCTGCTGCAGAACTGGGGCGAGAGGCGGCGTCAAGGCCCTGGGGCAGGGGGCGGCCGGGCTCGAGGACGGGGGTGGGGTGGGGGGGGCCTCACCGAGAAGAAGGCCTCCTCAAAGACCAGCAGGGGCCCCGAGAAGCCGATCACCAGCAGCGGCTGGGCGCCCAGCAGGCAGAAGATGACCCCCTGCAGCGCCGTGGACATGATCAGCTCCGACACCCCGATCAGGTCCTGCGTCTTCTCTCCTGGGGGGGGCGGGAGGCTGTGCAGGAGCCAGGCCCAGGGACCACCCCGCCCCACCCCTGCCCCCGCCCCGGCCAGGCTCCCCCTTACCCAGCAGGCCTCCAAAGGTGATGGCGGGCGACAGGGCGGCGAAGTAGATGAAGATGACGGCGGCCAGGCACTGCGGGTCCAGCGCGTCCCGGAAGTCGCTCAGGTAGTGAGGGTAGCGGCGCCGCACGTCCCGGATCAGCCCCCCGAAGGGCCGGCCCGTCCGCCGCAGGGGGTCGTCGTCGTCATCCCCCCCGGTGCCGGCCGCCTCTACCATCTGCAGGAGCGCTGCAAGCCAGGCCCGCGTGAGGGCGCCGGCCGGGCCGGGCAACCCCCCACCCCTCCCCCACCCCCGTCCCCCATGCCCCGCCACCGGCCCGGCCAGCTGTACCCTTATCCTGGGAGGACTTGGGCTCCAGCCCGGCGGCGCCCGCGGGCAGCAGGCGGCCCTGCTCCTCCCGCTTCTTGAGCATCTGGCGCTGGAAGTGGGCGACCGAGCGCAGCAGCTCCTCGCCCTGCACCTCGGAGGGCGGCAGCACCACGCTGCAGTCCAGGAAGGCGTTGATGGCCGTCAGCAGGTCCTCCCGCTCGTCCGCCAGGTACGCCGCCTCGTGGAATTGCTGCGGGAGCCGGACGGCGGGGGGTGAGGCCGGGGCGGGGGGTGCGGGGGACGGGTGGCGGGTGAGGGTCGGGGTCGGGGCCGGGCCGCGGCTGACCTTGTCGGACATGAGCGTGGAGATGGAGCGGCCGATCTCGTGGTAGTCCATGTTGGCGCTGCTCGGGCCCAGCAGCAGGAAGAGGAAGCGCACGGGCACCGGCACCTCCAGCACCGCGTCCAGCTCCACCGCCTCCCGCAGCCGCACGAAGGCCATGGTGGGCCGGGAGAGGAACTCCACGCAGCCTGGGGGGGGGGGGCGGGCGCGGTGGGCGAGAGCGGGGGCGCCGTGGCCTCGGCCTCACCCCAAGTACCCCCCCCAAGGACCAACATGGCCCCAGGCCCCCCCCACGTACCCCCGATGACTGCCGTGCCTTCCGGCCCCACCCCACATACCCACAAGGACCACTGTGGCCCCAGCCCCCGCCACATACCCCCCAAGGACGGCCGTGGCCTCGGCCCCACCCCACATACCCCCCCAAGGACCACCGTGGCCTCGGGCCCCCCCACATACCCACAAGGATCACCATGGCCCCAGGCCCCCCCACATACCCCCAATGACCCTCCCCACATACCCATGAGGACCACCGTGGCCCCAGGTCCCCCCCCCCCCCCGACGTACTCTCCCA